GGGGAATACTAAGAGCTCAGTTTTGGAAAGATTGAGTTTGAGGAAGTGGAGTGACATCCATGCCGATATGTCACTTAGTAGGTTAGTAATGCGAGTGGAGACTGAAGGGGTGAGGTGAGGGGTAGAAAGATAGATTTGTATGTCATCAGCATAGAGATGGTACTTAAAGCCATGGGAGTTTATCAAGTGACCAAGGGAGGAGGTGTAGATGGAGAAGAGAAGGGATCCAAGGACAGAACCTTGAGGGACCCCTACAGAAAGAGGGAGTGAAGAGGAGGAGGCAGCGTTATAGGTAACACTGAAGGAGCGCTGCGATAGATAGAAGGAGAACCAGGAGAGAGCAGAGTCTCTGAGGCCAAGAGAGTGGAGTTTTTTGAGGAGGAGGGGATGGTCAACCGTATCAAAAGCCACAGAGAGGTCAAGTAGTAAGAGTACGGAGTAGTGGCCATTGGTTTTAGCAGTTAGATCATTAGTGAGCTTTAGTAGGACAGTTTCAGTGGAGTGTAGAGAGCGAAAGCCAGACTGTAAAGGGTCAAGAAGGTTGTTGTCGATGAGGTGGGGGAGCTCAGGCGATTGTAGACTAAGCGTTCTAGGAGTTTAGAGGTAAATGGCAGCAGGGAGATGGGTTGGTGGGGTCCAGGGAGGCTTTTTAAGTATGGGAGTGATGTGCGCATGCTTTAGAGGGGGGGGGGAGGCACCAGTAGAGAGGGAGGGATTGAAGATGTGAGTGAGGGAGCATAGGATGGAAGAAGAGGGTGACCGTAGTAGTTGTGAGGGGACAGGATCCAGGGGGCAGGTAGTGAGATGGGCTTCTGAGAAAACCTTAGTGACCTCTTCAGGAGTAGCGCGGTCAAAAGAGGAAAGTGTTGAGGGAGGTTTAGTATAAGGTATGCTAAGTGTGATAGATGTCCGTGCAGTGGCGATGCCCCTACGAATTGCATCAATCTTGTTTTTGAAATGATTTGCAATCTCGTGAGCAGTGAGTGAGGTACTGGGTGGAGGTGGAGAAAGTAGAGTTAAAAGTAGAGAAGAGACGACGAGGACTGGATGAGAAGGTATTAATAAGAGTGACAAAGTAGGCTTGTTTGGCAGCATGAAGGGAGGAATTGTATGTTAAGAAAGCAGATTTATATCGGGTGAATGCTTGCTGGGATTTGGTTTTACGCTACAATCACTCCAGTGCATGACTATGTTGTTTAAGATTTTCTGGTGTTGTCAGTCTGCCAAGGTTGTAACGGTTGGGGCCTGATGCTTCGTGTTGGTAGAGGAGCAAGTGAGTCTAATGCGGATGAAAGCGAACTGTTATAGACAGCAGTGGCCAGGTCAGGGCAGGACAGGGGAGAGATTCTGTTATAGAGTTGGTCAGTTGCTGAGTGGAAAGGAGCAGAGTTCAAGTTGTGAAGGTTTCTGCAGGTAATTGTTTGCTGCTTGGAGGGATAGGTGTTTGAAGACGAGGAGACTGTGAAGGTGATGAGATTGTGATCAGAGAGAGGAAATGGGGTGTTTGTGAGGTTATAGGGAGTGCAAAGATGGGAGAAAACAAGGTCTAATGTGTTCCCATCAGAGTGAGTGGAGGACTGTATACACTGTGCTAATGCAAAAGATGAGGTTATGTTTTCTTGTACATTCCCCCTACCTATTAAAGAAAAGAAAGATTCTCCTTTAAAAACAAAAAGGTTTCGTGCTTTTCCTGCTTTCTGGTTTAGTCTAGGACGAAGGAGAATCCACTTGGGATTCTCCATTGCTTAACCACCTACCCTCCAGAGGATTTACCCCCTTCCTCACCAGGCCATATTTTGTGATATGGCGCTGTGTTATTTTAACTGACAATTGCGCAGTCCTGCAATGCTGCACCCAAATGAAATTGATGTCCTTTTTTTCCCCACAATGGAGTTTTTTTTTATTTTTTGCGCTGTAAACAAAACAAGACTGACAATTGTGAGAAAAAAACAATATTTTTGACTTTTTGCTATAAAACATGTCCAGTAAAAAAATTTTAAAAATCACTTGTTATCATAAATTTAAGCCAAAATGTATTCTGCTACATGTCTTTGTTAAAAAAAAAATCCCAATAAGTGTATATCAATTGGTTTATGTGAAAGTTATAGCGTTTACAAATGGCGGTATATATACTGGGATTTTTTTTTTAATACTAGTAATGGTGGCGTTTACATACAGACCTCTCCCCCGTCAGTGATACTCGGCGATCGCCAGGTGCTGGAGAATCTCCAGCCGGGACCCGGTGATCGACAGCTGAAGCCACCGATGGCAGCACGAGTAGGGCGAACGCACCCCCTACCCGGTAATGCAAAATCACGTATATATACATGTGATTTTGTGCAGCACTGCCGCCCTGTAGCAGTAATTCTGCTATAGGGTGGCGGGCAAGCGGTTAATGCGGAGCATAAGTGAGCATGGGATTTCATGCATGTGCAGATGTGTAGATTTCTAGAACCTGGCAGAAACTTGCAGTGCACTCTCCATTTAATGGGCAAACAAACAAAGCCCCACAAGGATAGCTGTTTGAACTCGGTGTGGTGTGACTGTGCATACGCAGATGTGCCCTGGGTCCTTTGCAGCTCCTAAAGACCTGTTACACATCTGTGCTGTTGGCAGGTAAATAAAGATGGCAGTGCCAATGACAAGCGGGGGGATAACAATGCAGTTTGGTTTTAACCAGGAGTGGACTGACAACTCATGGGGCCCTCGGGCAATAGGGGATCATGGGGCCCCTGTGTCCTTGCCCAAACTCAAAAAAGCCTATGAAAAAAGGTACCAAGGGCATCTCATGGGGCCCCCTACTGACCCCGGGCCCTCGGGCAGTGCCCGAGTTTCCAAATGGTCAGTCCGCCCCTGGTTTTAACTATTGATTGAAATCCACTTCTCCAGTGTGTGGCATATTGATTGAATAGGCATGGCCAGTCTGAATTGGTGAAGCTCTGCCACTTCCAGGTAATGCAACTTGCTCTGCCTTCCATACACTTCTACTGGCTAATAAAGATGCCAATCATAATGATGAGCCAATAGCATCTTGCAGGAGACAGGAGATGCATTTAGATGCCTGAAATGTATATCAGCTACTAGCTTTATATATATATATATGTTTTTACGTAACAAGTCACTTTAAGTATAGGGCCTTGTGCACACTGGGTGCTTGTTCAGCTCATCTGAGCGCCTTTACTTCTGGCAGGGAAAAAAAAAACGCTTAAAAAACTTGTCAAAAACAACAAATGCATTTAGGTGTGTCAAGATTGTGGGCATTCATTCATCCCATTGGCCAGAATATTCATTTATTCTGACCAATGGAATGAATGAATGAATGCTCAAGCACTAAACTTGCGTGGTGTTTAGATGTGTTTACACACATCAAGCTTTTTTTTCTGCTCAAACTCTCCTCTCCCGAATGAGCTGTCACCGGCACTGTAAACGCCTATGTGTGCATAGAAACATAGGCTAATATTAGAAGAGCATTTAGAGGCAGAAAAAAAAAATGCCAAACATAAACAAGCAGCGTTTTTGATGCCCAGTGTGCATGAGACCTATTGATTAGAATATACAGCAGGAGCATTACGGATGTATATTACAATACTGTACTGTTCGTTTTTTTAATTGCTGGAGCTTTTATCTTAATTAATATTTAACATGGGCTATTTTAAGGCCATTTAAACAAAGATCAGCAGAAATATTTTAAACATATAATGGATTTGACTAAAAGCAATGCTAACAGATTTATAATTTATAACACTTGCTTCAATATTTCATATTCATTTAAAATATAAAAAGCGTAACAATGTACACTTAAGAAGAAACTGTACAAAGTGTGCCATAGGCAATGCAGGGGGAAAAAAATGTATCACTGGATAATAAATTGGTTAAAAAATGTATTATATTCAAAAGAGAGAGCAAGCCTGGGTGACTTTAAGATGTCAAAGACTGGATCTAAGACAAATTATTTACAAGAGCTGAGCTCTCACCTTAAAGACTGATACAAACATCCACTCTTAATAATTGATCAGGTTACTGTGTAGCACACGGATATACTGATATCAGCGGCGAGGGTCCCGATAAGGCTTAACATGAATGGCACACACACACCTCATTAAAGGGAAATTCACTAAGAACTGATACGACTTGACTTACATTTGCTTCAAAGGGCAAATTCTCCCATTAGGCCCCATTGGGACCTAAGCGAAGTGTTACGTTTTGCTTCACACATTTTTTGGCACATTTTATAGGCATTTTATTGACTTCAATGGGCTGCATGTCACACAGAAAACATGCCAATGAAGCTCATATACCAAATTTTGGCACTGAGACAGACGTGCTTAGAGAAGGGCGTTTTGTAGCAAGTTTTACATGTCTTGTCATGCAACAATCATGCCAAAATCGCAAAAGAACACGATTCTGCCCATGTTGTCAGAGCAAGCCAGTTTGAATACAGTCTTAACCACTTGCCTACCGGGCACTTATACCCCCTTTCCTGCCCAGGCCAATTTTCAGATTTCAGCGCTGTCACATTTTGAATGACAATTGCACAGTCATGCAACACTGTACCCATATAAAATTTTTATAATTTTTTTGAGACAGATAGAGCTTTCTTTTGGTGGTATTTAATCACCTCTGGGTTTTTTATTTTTTGCTAATCAAACCAAAAACAACTGAAAATTTTGAAAAAAAAGTTTTTTCTTAGTTTTTGTTATACAATTTTGTAAATAAGTGATTTTTCTCCTTCACTGATGTGCGCTAATGAGGCTGCAGTGATGGGCACTGATAGGCTGCACTGTAGGACAATGATGAGGAGGCACTGGTAGGTGGCACTGATGGGCATTGACAAGCATCACTGATGGGCACTGAAAGACAGCACTCATATATGGCAATGATAGGCGGCACTGACTGGCACTAATAGTTGGCACTGACTGACACTGTTAGGTGGCACTGACTGGCACTGCTATGCGGCACTGATAGGCAGCACTGACTGGCACTGGTAACCGGCACTGACTGGCACTGATAGGTGGCACTGACTGGCAGCACTGATATGTGGCACTGACTGGCATTGATAGGTGGCACTTACTGGCACTGATAGGTGACACGGAAAGGCAGCTCAGATGGGCACTGATATGCGGCATTGATGTGCACTGGTAGGCATTGATGTGTGGTATTGATGTGCACTGGTAGGCACTGATACGCGGCATTGATGTGCACAGGTAGGCACTGATGTGTTGCACTGATATGTGGCACTAATGGGCACTGGCAGGTGCCATTGATGAGCACTGACAGCTGGCATTGATGGACACTGACAGGTGGCACTGCTGGTGCTACACTGATCATCAAGGCACACTGATCATCAGTGCCCTGATGGTCAGTGCACATGTCCCTTCTGAGGAATCGCCGCGCTGCACGCCCCCGGAACCGCGCATGTGTGGTTAGAGTGGGATGATGTCATGTGATGTCCTCCCAGAATGAGAGAACCGCCTTGCATCCGTCATTTCCTTATATGCTGGGCGGGAGGCGGTTAAGCTGCCCATACACTCAGTGGTGTATTTTGGCTTTGTGCTGCCCTAGGCAAGACTAAAATCGGGCACCCCTCCCCATCATCTAAATGTGTCCCACCCTTTCATATGCAAACTCCGCCCCTTCCTGTTTAGGCTCCACCCATTCCTATTAGAGCTCTGCCCACTGACATAGATGGGGCGCTATTCCTCCCACTGATACCAATGATGGGGCACTGTTCCTCCCAAAGATACCAATGATGGGGCACTATTCCTCCCACTGACACCAGTGATGGGGCACTATTTCTCCCACTGACACCAGTGATGGGGGCACTATTCCTCTCACTGACACCAATGATGGGGCACTATTCCTCCCCCTGACACCAATGATGGGGCACTATTCATCCCACTGATACCAATGATGGGGCACTATTCACACGGGCGTACCGATCTGTATATCCATGCAAAGGGCCAACTTGACCCAATGAGGATGCACAGGTGTTCCATGCAGAACGGTTTCATTTCTTGGCTCACTGATTTTTCCAGACGTCTGTACTAGGGTACAATAGGAAATTCTGTTTTGGTGAAATAATCTTCAAGGGTTAAATACTTCTAAAGGGATGCAGACTCTGCAGCTTTCCTCTGGAACACAGAGCATATCAGGTGATTATAATGAGCCAGGCCACCCCATTCTGAATCAGTCTACAAAGGACATGGTGAAACAAGCCGCTATTTCTTCAAAGCTTGTTACAATCCTTGCAGATGGCATAGATCACCCACATGGGATTGTTTATTTGTTCACAACAAAAGTGGAGTTACACTTTAACTCTTCCCCACTCTATTAAATAGCTGGAATTAGACTTTACTTTTTTTTTTGCATGTTGTTTCATAAATATTTTCAAACAGATGCTTACAAGAGAAAAACACCCAACAGTGTGTCAGATTTTATTTAATAAAGACATGAGCATATGTGATAGAGAAAACCCCTCCTCCTTTACTTAGCCCACATAAGCCTCATGCCTTTTTTTTTATGATGCTGTAGAATATTTCTTCGTCAGTTCATATAATTACATATCGCAAAACGGCTAAACTGCGGTAGAAACTCTTATAGTACCAGACAACACAAAATACCCTTTTAACTCCCCTTGACAGCCGCATGTAATCCCAATCCAACCAATTATCCGGCATACCCCTGCGGATTTCATGTCTGCACTTTTTTGCTAGCAATTACCCCAGAGTTGTTCTGCAGGTATTCACCTGAGGCAGCTGTCAGAGCAGTAAAAGGAGCATGGATCTCCGCAAGCCAGACGGTTCAGGTCCCCAGATACCTGTTAGACTGACAACCAAGGACAGGCCTGGCCACCTGATGGATAAAATTCACATTTATACATTTTAAGGGCATTATAAATATTGGATAAGGATATTACTAAAGCCATATATACAAGGAGAAAATACTTTATCAATGCTACAACTATTTCTAGCACTGCTGTATATACTACTGCAGTTGTTACTACTAAAAAATTAAAGGAGATCTATGATCACAGCATACACTTTCATCTTAACCACTTGCCCTCCTGAGGATTTATCCCCCTTCCTGACCAGGCCATATTTTGCAATATGGCGCTGCATTACTTTAACCCCTTCAAGCCGGCACCTCCCGGCTCTTTAAGGGGTTTCTGATCATAAAGGTCCAGATCGCAAGGAGAGATTGGGACCTTTCCATGGAACGCTGACACGTGCTGGGAGCACGTAGGGTGCGAGCTCTCAGCACATGTTTGCTTACAAATGCTACGCAAATATGCGGCTGATCGGTGTCAAGGCCCAGCCATCAAGAGGCCACATATTTGTGTACTGTCAACGTGAAGAGGTTAACTGACAATGGCGCGGTCATACAACTTTGCACTTAAATTAAATTTACGTCCTTTTTTTCCCACAATAGAGCTTTCTTTCAGTGGTATTTGATCACCTGTGCGTTTTTTATTTTTTGCGCTATAAACAAAAAAAAGGCTGACAATTTTGAAAAAAAAAAAAAAACTGTATTTTTGACTTTTTGCTATTAAACATATCAGTAAAAAAATTTTCAAAATCAAATTTCGGCATAAATTTAGGCCAAAATGTATTCTGCTACATGTCTTTGCTAAACAAAATCCCAATAAGTGTAAATTATTTGGTTTACATGGAAGTTAGTGTTTACAAATGGAGGTATATATACTGGAATTTTTTATTTTTACTAGTAATGGCGGCGATCAGCGACTTATAGCGGGGACTGCTCCGGGCATTCTGACACTGGGAGGAACTGACTTGGTGTAACTAACATCCCCAGTACCACCAACACAGTGATCAATGCTAGTAGAAAGCACTGACACTGTAATAATGGCACTGGGCAGGAAGTGGTTAACATGTAGGGCGATCAAAGGGTTAACTGTGTGCTGTTACACAGTGTGCTGTGTGAGTGCTTTCCACTGTAAGCTCACTGCTTTGTATGGCTGTGCCGGTGGGTACTGGCTGGGACCCGGTGATTGACAGTCAAGGCTGCAAATGGTGGCGCAAGTTGAGTGCACACGCGCACCCCCTATCACGAACTGCAAAATTACATATATGTACGTGATTTTGTACAGGATTTATACAGCACCAAGTTTGCTCAGCGCTTTACAATATAACGGAAGACAATACAGCAACAATACAGTTCAATACAAGAGGGATAGGAGGGCCCTGCTCCTTGGAGCTTACAATCTAGGAGGGAGGGGCTAGTGGTACAAAAGGTAGTAACTGTGGGAGATGGACTGGTTGGAAGAGTAGAAGATTCCATTATTAGCTGAGGGCAGGATAGGCTTCCCTGAAGAGATAGGTTTTCAGAGATCACCTAAAAGTGAGCAGAGTCTGATAAATTGGGATAAAAAGAGGCGCTAGTCTGATAAATTGGGGTAGAGAGTTCCAGAGGATGGGGGAAGCTCTGGAGAAGTCCTGAAGATGAGCATGGGAGGAGGAGACAAGGGAGCTAGAGATACATGGATACATCTTAAATCCTAGGATCGCTGCTATTGCCATTACATGTACAGGTGATTGTACAATCTCCTTTAGTTCGAACAAAAACGATATAGTACTTTTTACTGTTGACATCCCAAACTGGGTCTGATCTCACAAACCATATTTGTACCTTACTATGTGTTCTGTATATCATTGTGTTGAGTAGGGAGGCATCTATTTGGTGTTCACTGCAACTGCATCTCTGTTTTTATTATTCCAATCAACAAGAATAGGTAGTGTCTTGTTAATAAAAATTTCCTATGTACCATTGCAGCCATTTTTGCTTCCTGAAGAACACCAGTGAAGGTCTCTTTTATTCCCCCTTTGATACACATATGCTTGTAACTTCATTTGCTGTATTTGTTAAAGTCACGTGTATATCCAGATCACATTTCGATGTATTCAATGTGATTTGTAGATAGCGGTTTGGAAGAATGTGTTCATTGTATCCATTTGTGAGAGACATGTAAACAAGATATTGTAACTTCAGTTTATGTGATTGTATTGAAGATTTCTGTAAATCTTTTCTGTAAATCTATTCACAGAAGTTCAGTTTTGAAATGAAACACAGTGTTGCTCCTGTCAGTTATGTTAGCTAGCTGTCGGCTAACCGTTAGTAGGACAGCACACTATGTGCTCATCAATATCTATGCTCAAAAGTTACATGCTGCTAGGATCCAAGTGGACATAGCGTAGGACCGTTCACACACACACCTAATAGATTTCTGACCATTTAAAGTACTATTAAACCCAAAACCAAAAATGTCATATATTGCTGCTTACCAGTCATTAGATATGGTTGCTGTATCAGTTTTCTTTTCTTTTCTTTGGCTCCCCCCCCCCCCCCCCCCCCCCCCCGTTTTCGTGAGATGATATGGCCAGTAACATACCTCCTGTTAGTGAGACACAACTTTGGAGGAATGGGTGCTGGACAGAGCAGACAGCAGCATTGTCAGTATGGGGGGATGGGAGTAGTAAATGTGTTAGCAGATTTAAATACAATAACACATTGAAGCAAACTCCAGCTCACACTTGATAATCAGTTACCATTGTTTTTCCTTTTAAGATAAAAAGTTTTGAATAAATACAAAAATGGTAAGCATCCCTGTCAGTGTTGAATGGTCTCATCCATATAAACTGATACATTCTGCAGGAGAGCTTGAGCTTTTGAAAAAAGTTACTAGCTGAATCACCAGATGAAAATAGAAGAAAGACAGCCTAAAAAAATAAAATGAATGTAACCATCACACCTAATGTAAGCTACAATATAATAAATGTTTGCTTTGGGTTTAATACTGCTTTAAGCTGGCCAAACGCTTTGCAATCTGATTGTACAAACTCTTATTGACCTGCCTGATTGGATACAAACTGAATAGACCATTTAGGTATGTCCTTATATTATTTTGTACATCAATATGATATTGTACAGAGGTTGTACAATCTGATTGTATAGTGTATGGCAGGCTTTAGGGAACCTTATCTCCCCCAGCTCATGTATTTATAAATTCCTATGCTATGTGTATGACCAACCTAAACTGTCCATTTCCTGTTCTTGTTTAAACAGGATTTTTGATATGTGGATATGTACACCAAAACGCAATAACTTCTTTCTATTTCTTAGTGGAAAGGTAAGTACAAGGACCAGCCTTATTATATAGTTTTTCGGAAATCTACATGTTACAGTCCAATTGTACAATCTCTTTTGGATTTATTAAAACTGTGTTATACAGTATAATAACCAATACTATCCAGTCAAGTTAAATTGTTGGGCAGGCCCTTGTTCTACATACATAGGTGTTGGTAGATCTAAACATGATTGAACAGTTAGATTGTAACATGTATGGTAAGCTTAAAAGAGCTGGTACAGGAACTGTACAATCAGATTGCATAGTGTATGACCAGCTTAAGGATCAGCATCCTTTCATTTCAAACTTTGTGCACATAGAATGAAATGGTTTTAAGTGAACAGTGGATGACCATTGTGAGCAAGCAATACATAGCGATGGCAGAATCAGAATAACCAA